ATAATGGCGGGTGCGTACGTATTCCCACTCGATGAAAAGAAATAATGGGACATTTTAGCAACATAAAATGTAAGTTAGCTTTAACTATATCTGGAATTTAAGCTTGTCTTATATTGCAAGTCACAAAAGCGAATCAACCTTTATTTACGTAGATGCAACAAATTGATGCGCTACATTCTTTTCAAAGCGAACGCAATTTTCGCAAATTTGGATGAGCAAAGTCGTTTCCGCGTTATGGACAGGCATATTAGAATAATAACAGGCAATGGCTGTATTCCAATTATAGGGCAAATTGTCCCTGACATCGAGTCGAATTTGATAAAAGCATACATATTAGGGAGAAATGGTGCAGTACAGATGTTAAAGGACATTTTGGAAAATTTCAGTTCTTTGATTTACCTTCTTTTTCGTCATTATTTTGTTTCGTATTCGGGATTTTTTTATTACATCACGCACATAGATGAAATCAAATAACTAATATCTTTTGTTGTGACTTTCAAAACTTTTAAAATTCAGTGCAGTTTTGTTATTTATCTGATGTTAGTTGTCATGTTTAATATCAATGAATCGTACAGTTTTTTCTTCTTATTCAAACCAGCTGAATGTGAGGGAAAACATCCCACTTTAAGAACTGACTTTTTCCTTTTGTGTTGCTATTTATCCAATGCCTTGTATTACTATATCTGCCAACACTCCAATTACCCACCCACACTCTTTAGAAAAAAATAAATCTTTTGTTTTTAGTCAAAATCTGCATGACTGTTGTCAAGAGAGATATCGATTGAAAGAGCTCTATCGTCTTGCAGATCCACGCCTGTTGCTTTTCTGCATCCAAACGAACCATATGTTTTCATTATGTGAAGACACGGAAGGTCGTAATGCTGAATTGATACAGTGCTTTTGCTAAAGAAAAGGCTCGATTTGATGTTTTGTTGTTGACGTTTAAGGGTCATGTTTTGTTTATTAGGTGATCTGCCGCGTAGCGAGGCAGAGCACCTATTGATTTCAATATCTCATGAATGACATGGTTTATGACATTGACATTATCATGGCATGTGCCATATACATTATTATTGATCATAACGAAGACAAAGTGATGCGTGGCTTCATCTAAGAGCCATTTTGTTAATTTCTATTATTAATCATATTTCCGTCATACCTTGTTATTTCTGAATGATATTTAAAATTCATAAACTTGACGTCATGGGTTATTCAGTAATTATTTTCCATTTCAGTTTTCGAAAGCAACTTCGATACAATGCTTGTTCCTCGACGGTATGTTCTCTTGTCGATGCATAAGAAAAACCATGCTTTTCATCCACATCTTACTATAAAATCTTGCTATGTGCATTTCTTCAGAATTATCAACTTCCACTCTCATAGGTGTATGTAACGATTTATAACTAGGCCTATCACTGCATTTAAGTATTTGTATTTTCTCGAGGTGGCGTGGATCGGAAACGAGTACAAAGCGTACTTTTTACCCATGTTTTTGAGCCATAATGCATGGCAGTCAGAGGATTTTTTTATGTTTGGGACTGGGGTAAAATGCAATAAATTATTGAAAAATTATTGTATTTTCTTTTTCTTTTTTTTAATTTATGGAAACCGCCCCTACCCTAGCCCCCGCTGCGTACTGCCATGGTTCAGTGACAAAGCAATGGCCTCGTAACTGTGAGGCCCCAGAATCAAAACCGTGTCGATGTGCTATATTAGTGCCCTTTTGTGGGGCATTAATCCTCATTACTGCCATTTAGGACTTAAGGGCATAGGTCCCCTAGTTAATAAGCATAGTAGCATACACATGCTTTAGCAGTCACGCAAAACACACATTGTCAAATTATTATTCAATACAATCTGAGAATGTATACTATTATCTAGATCTATTATTTTTAAATTATTTTTTAAATAATTCCATAAATTGGGGTAAAACAAAAATATTCCAACTATATGAGTGACAATGTAGTATGACGACATGAAACTACAAACAAACAGAACATGTCTTGTTTTTGTGATTTGAACATTTGTATTTGTGAACGACGACCTTTTTTATTTGCTTAATTTTCTTATCTCTTTTTTAAATCTCGACTGTAAGTAAATTAACGTACACAGATAAAGACGTCAATTTTATTTCACATATAGAATTCAACAATTCTTCTTTCCTTGGCTTCAACCATTATTACTGATAATTGCGCTGTAAATATTTAAATTGTAAAAGCGTCTCATTGATACAGACAATGTGCGCAGTGTGCATTGAAGGTAATGAAAAACGTCATCTGCGATTTGACCTTGCAACTTTTGTACCCGCCTCAGGAGGATAATTTTATTGAGAGGATAATTATAACTGGGCAAAGTAAAACAATTTTTTTAAATATTCCTTAAAAGAGATGTTAGGGTATCATAAGTGCATATCAAAGTTTATGACAAGTGCTAGAAATGTCTTCTGACATCTATATTGAAAGCTATATCGGGAGTGACGTTAATATATCAAATACGATTATTAGCGACGGTATCGGGAAATGCTTTTACGCGCAATATATTTATAAAATACACAATGATGAGTAAGTCGGTGAAGGATCTTTGGGGGGGGGGGGGGGGGAGGGTTGAGGAGAGCAAATTCTTAAAAACTGTTAGGCGTTCACTATCTCTTCACCCCTACCCCTCCCCCACCGCCGCGTCTTTCCCCTAATTTTACCATTTCCCGAGACTTAATTTCCACCTCTGATATGGAAACCTTAGCAATTTTCTCTTATCATTTATTTTTGCCTGTCCGTCACTTTTTAAGCATATTAATCCGGCCGCAGAATCCCGGATCTGCCGATATCATAATGTATTTTGGCCTGGAGTTCATTTTTGATCGCGTTAACAGTAATTGTTAGATTTCTTTTATTTTAGTACATAAAGAGTGAAACTCTAACAATACTAAGCTGCTGTATGTAGTATTCTCTCGTCAAGACAAATATTGTAATTGAATCATAATATGCCTGGCCCGGTTAGTAATTTGCTGCTTCATCGAAAACATCGCATTACATTGTAATACGTAGCACATGTACAGTTTGATGCATGTAGGACCAAAATGATACCCTTTTCAACATGATTCATCCAACTTTTCTTCTCACTTATGTCACTGCATTACTTCTGAATGTAATTAAGGTAAGGTATTTTGTAAAGGGGAGATCATATGAAATCTGTATACGGTATAACAATGTTTTTTGTGGCTTCTATTTCAAGGAGTGAAGATTTGGAAAACATTGTTCAACAAAGTTGTTTGTCCCCAACATAATGTATAATCATTTGCTGTGGTGTAGCACATGAGGGCGCGGAGAAAGCGCCCCAGATCATTGAATTGCAAGATACAGAGAAACAGAGACACACATAGAGGGTAGCAAAGGGATAAAAACTAAATAGAAAATGACATTTTGTTATTTAATGTGAGAAGAACATGATAATATGAATACATTTCTTCCATTTATGACATGCACCTTTCATTCTACAAATCCCTAGATGACAACACCCCCCCCCCCCTCCCTTACACCTCCCTGTCCATGACCAACATCACAGCAGTGATCATTATTCGTGTCATTATTAAAGTTATTGTTCGGCAATACAAAGATTCATTACACTTTCCCTTTAAAAGGGGATATCGTGCACGGCCATGCGGTATTAGGGCCGCTTTGTATGATAAATGCTATGCTTGCAACAACTGTTGTGAAGAATCCCTTCAAGCAACGACTATTTGGACCTCAAATGGTTATCTAAAGCACAATTTCTTTAATGACTCTCTTTCAAGGATATATTCTCTTCATATCGTATTACAATTTGCGTACCCCTGTTAGATAAATATTATGCATGAAGTTTTCATCACGCGTGTGCTTTTCAAACGGAAATTTTGAATTGATTTTCGATACTTTTACAAATAAACTGCACAACTTGCATGACCCCTGCATGAGTTCCTATAGTCTTTATAAGTATTTGAAATCTAATTGCTTTCCCTTAAAAATGTTAAATGTAATACAAAACTGTGTACTTGATGAACGACTCAACGCATATCAAATCAAAGCAAAGCAAAACAAATCTGTTAGTAGCATCCTATCTATACAAATCCATATTGGTAAATTTTGTCTCCATGCCTCTATACTGTTTTATGTTCATCATGCATAGTTTAAAATTCAGATTCTTTAAAGAAATATTAATGAGGATATTTGTGATTAGTGAAGATTAAATCTATATTTACAAAAGACACTTGTATATCTTCCATATTAAATCACCCCCAATTATCGATGATTCTTAGAATATGTCACAGAAGGCGCAAGTTTAAAAATGTAATTATCGATTCTTCGCATATAACCTATACATCCATCGTGCTTTGTAGTAAGGGTCAGTTTATGATTAAATTAGCATGCATACAACTTAATAAAAATCTTTATATAAATGCCAACAGCCCGAGAAAGAATGTTTGGCTGTTACAAAAAGAAGTGTGTTCAGTTCATGTCCTGCATTCGAAGGAGTGAAAAGGGCAGAAAATGACTGTCGGGCACAAATCTACGAATCACTCCATCAGTAAAAACAGATGCAATGCACACACGTTTCGCACACCCTCGCCCACATTCTCTCTTTCACTGAGAAGTGCACATTACGAATGCCTTGCGGCTATGGGTTTATTGCGGTATGTAATGTATCAGGAGTGATTTTTCTGCAGCTTGCGCACACCAGGTGCGCAGCTGAAAATCGCGCTATGAACTATCTTCACTTTCTCTCGCGAAGTTGTGTCGTCTGCAACGTTTTACTAATCCCGTCGTTATCAGATACATGTGGATCTCCTTGAATCGATTCATCTTCATAACTTCTTTTGTTTTAATTCTTCCATAAATGTGTCGGATTTCCGTACCAGTTTATCTTCCAAGAAATTGAATTTGTTCATCGTGTTAATGTCTTACAAAGCTCGTAAGTCCATACAATTTAAGTTGTCTGATTTCTTGTATTGCTGATATTCTTTCCAGCTCTGGAAGATTTTGTGGATCACAAACCAGCGGTTCGAGTCAAGCTGCATTACGTCTTTGTTGAACAGGTAAGTCTCACTGACTCTCGAAGTACTTTGTGTCATTTGTTGCGTCAGTTTGGTACCATGTGTGTATCATAATTATAAGGCTATCCATAATGCCCTTTGCACACTTCGCATCATTAGCCTGTGATAGGACTGTGTCAGCGACTGGCGCGATTTTTGACGCACTATGTGACATTGAAATCGTACCCCGAAACAGTGCTTTCAAACTGAATGCATTGAATTAATGATCTATGGACTTATTAACAAAGGTAATGACGCAACCAAAATGACGCATCATTAACAACGGGCATAATTGGTGTAAACAGTTATCAATGGACGCATCGTCTACTCTTTTTTGGATGGGAAGTTATCCAAAGCGAAATGATAGTTGTTGACAACAAATGATTATATCAAAGAGTCTTTTGACGGATCACGAAGTAGGCTTTTCAAAAAATAACGCTTCGAGAAAACGTTTATCATAAGGGATAATAATGCTTTGTCGTGATTTTCTTTATAGATAATAAAAATAATCTGGATTATAGAGCGCTTAATACAGAATACCGTCTCTAAGCGCTTTGCAGATATTATTACCCCGGTCTTCGGATTAATTCACGCATTGCACCATCTCCACTCCCTGGGGAGTATTCCTACCATATGGTCACCGTGAGGGCATTGGCAATTACTAACACAAATGCTTTCGTCAACCTAATGGGTACCCATTTTTTCTCTTGGGTATTGAGTGGCAAATGTAGATTAATGCCTGTCCAAAGGACATTTCAGATACGAAAATGTAGCTGATGTTTATATAGTGAAAGTGAAACTTTTTGCGATATTTTTGGGGTTCATTAAATCCTTCTTTAGTATGGTTGAAACCTGTCAGGAGATGTTGTTGGAATATTTCCAATTCTTGCAATAAAATAAGAGAGAAAATGAAAAATTAAATTTGCACTTGATCTTTTTCTTCCGAAGAAAAAAGCCAAGTGCAAGATTAAGATCAAGTGCAAGATTTAATTGAAGTTCAATTAAATCTTGCAGTAAATAAAGCACGAGACAGATGTCAAGAAGAAATTCATGATTTGGTAACAATTAATCCAGACACATCAATTAACAATGTTAGGTCTACCCTTTCATTCGTTGTATATACATGTATATGGTGGCTAATCTGTATGGCACACGTCCTACTGGAACTCAATTCACCCAGAGAATTATGGTCTTAAATATTTTAAACTCGACTTCTCGTCGGGTCTTACTCTTGAAAGTACAATACCACTGCTCCTGTATATCCTGTCCTCGAATCTTGTCATCATGGTCAGATGAATCCCCCTGAATATGTTGTACTGTTTTTGCACCTGCAACTCAATGACAAGTTCATTGACTTTATGGATGAATTTGATGCCCAATTGAAGGTAAATACTTATTATTTATAGATAAAGTTGAGTTCTGGTCATGCTTTTGCATTGTGAAAGGAACGTTGTTGAATCGATAAGAAAAAGTTGACCATCTAGCATTTAAGTATTAATGTGTACTGCAAGGTTCTGGAATCATCAAAATTATAAGAAATTTGGCCCAGTCTTGGTAAAGTTACAAGCACTGTACACATAAAGATGTATATGGGACTGTACTAACATGTGGCATAAAAATCCGTCCCAATTTTTCTTCCGTTACATGCCATATTTAGCATATGAAGGTATTTAAAGAGCCATGCCTTTCAGTGAACATGTTTTTATCTAATGTTCTTTTACACGTGCTTAATAATAATGATAATGCTCACAAATCACTTTTCACCTCTTCCCAGAACTCAACTTTCTCTTTAATGGAATCATTGATGCGAAACCTCCATTTGCAACGACTACTCCTTTTTCATAAAAATGTGTAGAATTCTTCTTAGCACATATATCACCTTTTTGTCTTCTTAAACATCACGTACGGTGATGCTCATTGAAGATGATAATCCTTTTTCGTTGTTTTTTTACGTGAAAAGAGTTCCTGCATTTTTCCTTCAATATCGTAGAGAAAGCCATACGTCATCATCTGATCATTAATACGATTTCAGGAACTTTAATTGAACTCTCTTGTGAAGGTACCCACCTAACAATATAGTTAATCACCATCATTGTCATCATTATATTTGTTTTATTCATATTAGTGCAGGCTGTTTCATAAGAACTCCTTCAGACACAACATTTGCTGTGAATATAGTTTTATTTTAATTAGCATCTTACGAGAAGCTACGATGATTTTTCGGTTTAGACTTTTCCATGATGTTATTAACTGCTTCACTTGAACGTCGGGCGCGTCCATTCAGAAACATTATTTCAATGACCTCATCTGTTGTTCTGTGACTTTTTTTTTAAATGACCTACAAATGTTGGTAGTTTTAATCTCAACTAGATATCTTTATATTTATGCATACCTAAATAGAGACCATAGAAGAATTAACCCGCAATCATCTTCAATCCCGTAAACGTCGTTAAGTAATTATTTCCTCTAAGTCGTTTCTTCTTTTCCCCATGTGCTTGCTCCAGAAACTGTAATTAATTTACCCAATGGGTTTCACAGCTTCCAGGCCTTCTTGTACTGGCTAAAGTCCCGTCATTTAGTCCCGTTTTCCTTCGTATTCTCCCCTTCCTGCAATATTCCAAAGGAAGTATGGTGGAGACGTTCATTTAATGTGATGGGTAATTAAAAGGCAAGTATGCCAGAGCTGCCCTACCAAACATAATTAAAATACATGCCTGACGCACTTTACGACGCAGAGCCTCGTAGCTGCAACCCCTTGGGACCACTCTCCACTATGGATGGATGCTGGAAGATGGCATCTCGGTCAAGCGTGAACAATACCTGATCTGATGAAGAATCTTTCTTGTCGGAAGTCGGTTAGGACAATAATGTTGCAAAGTTGATATTGACGCGATGTCATTTTGCATCTGAAAGTGACTCGGTAACATTGTTGAAGGATGTATGAAATGTTACTTATTATATTCCTTCTACTGTACTTACCCTGTAACATGCACACAATCCTGAGAAAATTCTCAAACCACAAAGATATTTATGGTTTTCTTTAAAGGTGTCACTGTGCACCCTCTAACAGTGATCAACAGTAAATTGTCCCAACCATTTTTGAATTTTCCCAACTATAAGACCGGCATTAAAAATATTTCAACACTTCAAATGTCTGGAATGGTATATAGAGCGAATTCATTGCTTTGTGACGATTAACATTCACCTAAAATGTAATTAAATTGTATTAATATGGTTGGGAGAATTAAGGAATCGATCAGGTCATTGATGATGGTCCGTGTTCACTCAAACTTTCAGATTATTTTAAATTCTACATCTAGCATTGAATTCACTACCATAGTACCGTTTTCTCTCATCTGAACAATGTTACCAAGTCCCAAATGTTAAGCCAACTCAAGTAGGGAACATCGTCGTCATTTTCCTTAGGATTGATGACGCCCACCCCCTCACAGAAATACAAAAGAAGAAGAAAATACGCTCTGATATATCTTCTACGTTATACAAAGGCTTTCAAAAGATGTGATTTCTCGTAGACAGTGGTATCAGTATCCAAAAACGAGGAAATGATAAACCATTTCTGTGAGGATGCGACAATAGTTAAAAAATACAATTGAAGAAGCATAAGGTAAGTTTAATAACCATCATAGTACTTTAATAGAACATATTCACCTCGAAGTTGTATAATCAATCACTTTATCTTAGATGGTGAGTATCCTATTTATCGACTGAAATCAAAGATACCTTACAAAAAGGTTCTGACCTATGACCAAAAGAATCTGTAAGGTACCTCTAAAGGATAATTCAAACGGCATCGGTAAGTGGTAATTGAAGTGTGCAAATTAAGGGAGATAACCCAAATGTTAGTATAATGATGGGACAACTTCACCTTTGTCTGACGATAGCTAAAGCCTGAAGGGCACTCCTGAAACGCACATCAAAAATTGGCTTTACAACACGAGAGTGTGTCACTGAAGACACTTAAATGTTTTAGGGTGTAGGCTAATGGGTGATTGGCTTACCGGAAGACGCTGGTGCCGTGTTGATTGTGACATTTATCCGACCCTGTCCGCTTTTAAATGTCAACCTTACTGTTTGAGATTGAGATCAAGGAGATTACCAAAGTCGTGGATCATACGATTATTTAGTAATGATTTCCTTTAGGCTGTTATCACGATGGTATTTAACCTTAATGGGGTAGGGTGATAGGGCTATATAGCACGGGGTCGACCCGGAAAATGTTATATTAAAGAATAAAGAAGAGAAGAATCTAGAAATGAAATTGGAAGAAATATTTAGTCAACTAATCTACGTGCAGTCGCCATACGGTTTGAGAAAAAAAAAACAGAAACAGATAAACGGAAAAACAAATGTCTCTAATGCACTGATGGTAATCAATTTAAGACTTGGAAGCGATTTACCTCTAATAAAAAATATGATGACCCTTAGGATATTTTTCTGATTACCCCCGTTTCAAAAAGGAAATGAATTCTCCCCTGGCATATGAAATCGGATACGCAGTGATTCTTAGGAAACATATAAACAACATCAAAACAGAATTTGATTTCTTTATTTTTTGTTTAATAAATTCAAATTCTTTTGAACAGAGGTTGCCCCTGGCAGTATCTTGGAATATGTTTCATTTCAAGTTATTAAATAAACTCAGTAATATGGCGAAACTGTTTGGGCCGACAGTGCTATGAAATCTTATTATTTGCCTTCAAGATATTCACTGCTGCAACCTTCCTTATGACGGCAATTGAATTGCCCTACTTCGGAAACAGTGTGACTGTTTTTCGTCGTTCTTTTCCGGATCGTCTTCTACCTTTCCTATTTTTCCCCCTTTTTAATTTGCTCTTCTTCCGCTTAATGATTTCCGAAGATTATTCTACTTCTACACCCTCCCATTTCCCTAGTATACATGTATAGTTCCCACTTAAATGATTTTGCATTTTATCCAGGTTTTAATCGAAACACTGATGGACGAATCTATTTAAGACATTTGA